GGACTCTCCCTACGGAATGAAACAGGCCTTCGGGAGAGGGTCAGGGACTTACAGGACAGCTTGATAATTTTAAACTTTCAAACGTGGATAATGAGAATCCTATCTAAAGTAGGTAATACTGTGTCAAGTTAAGTTCCATGGGTAGGCTACTGCCATTGTGTTTATGTAGGAGAATGTGCTAGTTCCCAAGAGTTTCAGGCTGTAGTATTTCGTGGTGAAGTGTTGGCATCTTACTTTCCAATGACTGAACAGAAAAAGAGACCAAACTGGGCAAATGTCAACAACTAGTGCATGCAGTGCCTAAAGGAAACTGCTGGACCTGACCTTTCAGGCCATTTCCATCTGCTCTGAGAGCCCGCAAGAGGGGTCACCACGGTGCACCAGCCGTGGGGCTGCCTCTCTTGTGGTTCCTTGCCGTGGTCAGAGGGTGTCCTGCACATAGACTGTAATGTGGGGGTGGGCACATAATATTTGGGGTAGTGCTGGCCCCATCATGTCTTCCTGGAAGAGCCACAGAGTAGCAAAGACCTAGCCCCTTCTCCAGCCCACCTGTTTCCTGGGACCTACATGAGTATTTGCCTTTTTTTTTTTTTTTTAAGATTTTATTTATTTATGCATACAAAGCTGGGATACAGGCCAGAGATGCAGGGGTGGTGAGAACATTTACTACGGGAGCCAGAATAGGGAGCAGAACAAGAAGACTCACAAAGTACACTGCTGAGGGGAGCAGCGGGCAGGACAGCAGAGGTCTGCTGCTTCATGTGGGTCCGCTCCCCGCCCGGGTATTGAACTTGTGCTGGGACGGCTGGGGCTAACTTCATAGTGCTGCGCTTCAACCTGTTGCACCACCAGGTAGGGCCCAATATTTGCCTTTTAATAGCGTCTCTAGTAGCCCTTGAGGACTAAGGGAATAGAGAAATTTCTAATTTGTCAACCCAGCAGAAGCTGGCAGACAGGGAGTTGAACTGGGAAAGGAAATTTGGGGTTTAATGGGTGAGGGAGCCAGCTCGCTTCAGCCTAGGTCCCTAGGGCTGTTGGCTCTCTGTCACCGTCCACCTCACCTTGAGGCGACTCTCCTGGTCCACAGGCAGTGCTTTTCGTCCCGCCTCCTTACCACAGATCTCTCAGGATCTAAGTGAGTGAGCACTGAGCCTTTTGGAAGGAAATGCTGCCTGTGTGGCCCTGGGAACGAACTCTGTGGACAGGCCGGGCCTCCTTCCCTGTGTGGCTGACAGACAGTGTGGTGGCCTCCTGTCCGAGAACCAGGCCGCAGTGGTCACAGAAGGGTAGCTGAGTTCCTCCTCTGAATTCCAGTCTGGAAGAGCCTCGTCAGCCTGGTCTGCCAGATCACCCTCAGCAATGTCTCCTTTCTCCTGAGAAGCAGCCCGAGCCCTGGGGTGAGAGCCCTGGGGTCTGACAGCAGAGTCCTCTGAGAAATTGGCCTGAAGGAATCAGAGACCCCAGAGCTGAAGGCAATTTGCATGGTGGTGTCCACATGCCCACCTGCCTTTCCATGTGCCAGCCTGTGCTTGACAGACCCCAGGGATGGGTGTCACCTCTTTGTCTCCACGTCTGAGAATTCTCACCACCAAGGAGCTCTGCTTCCCCATCCAGGTCAGGTTCGTCCCTCCAGGTGGGAATGGGCTGAATTCCAGGAGCGTGGAGGCAATGGCGGGTTCACACACTGAACTTTGAATGAAATATTTAAAGACTATTTTTGTGATAAAGAGCCTAAAGAAGGGGGCCTTAGTCTGGCCTGAGGGTTCAGAGAAGGCTTCCTGGGGAATGGATGTCTGAACAAGGCCTGGGACAGCCACACAGAGCACTGGGAAGGGCACGCCCAAGGACGGAGGCCAGAGGTGTGGAGCGGAGGCTTGTGTGGTTGGAGGTGAGAGGGGTGGGAGTCTAACAGAGAACCTTTGAAGGGTTCAAGCAGCGAGTGGGATGATGGGATTTACACTCTAGAAAAGCCCTCTGGAGAGAGCCTCAGAGGAAAAGATTAGGAGGAGGAAGAACCAAGGCCCTTGTGATGTCCAGTTGAAAGAGAAGGGTAAAAAATAGGGCAGCAGTTGGGATAGACAGAAACAGTAGACTTGGGATATTTTAAAGAGGAAAAGCGGGCAAGCCTCTGTGATTGCATGTGGGATGAAAGGAAGGAGGAACTCTGGGTAGCTGCAGGTCTTCTAGTTCAAGTGCCAGCGTGGTGCCTGAACCAGGAGGGACAGGAAAGTCTTGGGCAGGAAAGAAGGTGATCATTTATTTGAACTTGTGGGGCTTGTGAAAGGCAGTCCTGTAACCTTGGCCGGGGGTGGTGGGAGGGGTCATTCACTCATTAACATGAGAATGGTATAAGCAATGAGATTGCACAGGCAGAATGGAATCTCGGGTCCACAGCAATATTTCAGAGGTAGATGAAAAAAAAAAAAGGAGGACAGGCCCTCTCTGATGGCGTGGCGGGTTAAAGCACAGCACTAAGAAGCTAACACCACTTCAGCATGAGTTCAATCCCCGGCCCGGAGGTGACCCACACGGCGCGGCAGACCTCTCCTGACCCGCCCACTGCTCCCCTCAGCAATGTACTTCGCCAGTTGGCCTGTTCTACTCCCTGCTCTGTCTCTGGCCTGTACCCGAGTTTTGTATGAATAAATAAGTAAATCTTTAAAAAAAAAAAAAAAGGACAAAAAAGTTGGAGAGCAAGGTGCTCTAGAAGACAGGAGTTGGAGGTCTGAGGAGGAAGGGGAATGGCCTGGTGAGATACATGCAGCAGCTAGAAATGCCTGTCGAGTTGGGTGGCCTGGGCACCGTGGCTGGAGCAGTTTGGTGGCAGGTCGGGACAGCCAGATGACAGCGAGAGAAGTAATGGGAAGGGGTGTGCTGGAATGATTGCATGTTGTCTGCGCTCAGGCTGGGAAGGGAAGGAAGAGCAGAGAGGATATTGGGACAAAGTCAAGGACCCATGTTAGGGAACTGGGTTACGCTCCTTCTCCCTCTTCCCCTCTCTCTACAGGGGAGCGTCTTCCTGGAGGAGGTGGGTGGATGGCTTGTTCTGCAGGAGAAGGTAGAAAACTGTTTCCCGGGGCCCTCCCTGGTGGCATAACAGGTTAAAGCATAGCACTATGTAGCTATCACAGCCACTGCAGCATGAGTTCGATCCCTGGCCAGGGAGCTGACCCACACGGCACAGCAGACCTCTCCTGTCTCCCCCACGGCTCCCCTCAGCAGTGTGTTTCAATTGATCTGTCTGTTCTGCTCCCCACTCTGTCTCTGGTGAATCCTCTCAGCCCCTGCACCTCTGACCTGTACCCCAGTTCTGTATGCATAAATAAATAAATCTTGAAAAAGAAAAAGAAAACTGTTTCCCAAAACTAAAAGGAAGAAAGAGGGGCCGGAAGCAAGTGCAGCTATATTAGTGGGTAAGTGAGGTAGGATGTTGAGAGGTTATTTCCAGTTTTCAGGCTAAGGCAAATCTTAATACTTGGCTTGTGCCAGCTCCTGGCTGAAAATGTGGGGTTCTCTGGATTAAGACAGGGCCAAGAAGAGGTAATAATCTGACATACCTGTACCCCATCAAGCACCTGGGTCTCTGGCAAAATTTGTTTTATTGTACATGTAGATGTATTTTTTTTCCTTTATTGTTTTTTAAAATAATATAATAGTTTACTTTTACATCATTTTGTGCCTTTTTCCATCTCAGTTGTAATCCCTGTAGGCTTCCCATCACCAAATCACCCGTGTGCCATCACCATAGTCCAGTGAATTTCCTTCCCCCCACTGTTTTTGATCCCGTTCCCCACTCCACCCCCGTAAAATGTCTCTGGTATGTAGCTGTTCATTATTATTATTATTTTCTTGCCTGATCCATTATACTCCTGCTATGAGTGAAACCATCCGGTATTTTTCCTTTTCTTTCTGGTTTATTTCACTAAGCATGATCTTTTCCAGCTCCAACCATGTTGCTGCAAAAGGCACGAGTTTATCATTTTTGGTTGCTGAGTAATATTCCGTTGTGTATATGTACCACATCTTTTTAATCCAGTCATCGCATATAGATGTATTTTTAAAAAAGATTTATTTCTTTAAAAAAAAAGTGATCTAATCCAATTAAGTGGAGATCTTTATGGACCATGATTTGGACCCAGAGTTCCATAATAGACATTTCTGATATAATGGGAGAAAATTAAACATTGGATAGTAAAAAAAAAAAAAAGATTTATTTATTTATGCATATAAGAACTGGGATACAGACTAGAGGTGTGAGGCAGAGGATTCACCAGAGACAGAGTGGGGAGCAGAACAGGCAGATTGACTGAAATACACTGCTGAGGGGAGCAGCGGGCGAGACAGGAGAGGTCTGCTGCGCCATGTGGATCACCCCGGGGCTCGAACTCACACTGAAGCAGCTGCAGCTAGCATGCAGTGCTGTGCTTTAACCCGCTGTGCCACCAGAGAGGGCCTAACACTTTTTTTTTTTTTTTAAGTTCATGCACCTGTCGACAGACCTTTGAGTTTCCAGTTTTTGATGTTACAAATAAAGCTGCTATGAATATTCACATACAGGTCTGGCGTGGCGTTTTTCTTGGGTACATAGCTAGGAGTGGGGTACTTGAATCTTAGGGTCATTTACCTCTCCAGGAAGCTGTCTGTTTCCATAGTGGTGGTGACATTGTAGATTCTCCACCAGCAGTGTCTGAGATCTGTCTCTTTTAAGCTGGTTTAGGACCCTTGTCTTCTCCCGACTGGTGCGTAGAGCTCCTTTCTTTGTTTCCTGGGGCACATGTGAGAGAGATGACCAAAAATGAATGACCAGAAATGGAGACAAGTATAAATGAGTAGAAGCGGAGAGAGCTGCAATAGATAATAAAATCATCTCGACATCTCCTTTTTCTTCATCTTTCTCTCCACCGATGGTAGGCATTAAAGCAGCAGGCAGACACAGGTGCCCATCGGGCCACCTAATTTAGATCATTAATCTCTCTCTTTTTGTGACTCCCCTCCAGGTGCCTGGACACCATGTCACAAGCCTGCAGACCTGACACTGGCAGGAAGTAGAGGCTGCTTGTCTCCTTCATCACCCGCCCTCGCCATGTCTTCGACTCAGGGCAGCGGGGAACACTGGAAGTCCCTGGAGTCGGTGGGCATCAGCCGCAAAGAGCTGGCCATGGCCGAGGCCCTGCAGATGGAGTATGATGCTCTGTCCCGGCTCCGGCATGACAAGGAGGAGAGCAGGGCCAAGCAGAACACGGATCCGTCCCTCATCCACTGGGATGGGCTCGACCTTGACTTCTACAGTAAGCCCACGGGAAGGCGGAATGACCTCAAGCTCTTACGTGGTCTTTCTGGCTCCGATCCCACCCTCAATTACAACTCACTGTCTCCCCAGGAAGGGTCACCTAACAACTCTACCTCGCAGGGCTCCCAGCCTGGCCCAGATCCTTGGTCCAAAGGCTCCCTGGCTGGAGACTATCTCTTCCTTTTTGATGGTTCAGACCAGGGACTCTCAGTATCCCCAGGGCCAGGAGATAAGAAACTGTCCCCACCTCCTCTGCCTCCCCGAGTCTCCATCTGGGACACCCCTCCTCTGCCTCCTAGAAAGGGGTCCCCCTCATCCTCCAAGATCTCTCAACCCAATGACATCAACACTTACGCACTGGTGCAACAACCTGAGGGCAAATTGCTGGCGCGCCGGATCCTCGAAGAGGAAGAGGAGCGGCGAGGTGGGTGTTCAGGGCGCCTGCTGGGCTCTGTGGACTACGATGGTATTAATGATGCAATTACACGACTCAACTTGAAGTCCACCTATGACGCAGAGATGCTGCGGGATGCCACGAGGGGCTGGAAGGAGGGCCGGAGGCCCCTGGACTTCGGCAAGGATCCCCCTGGCAAACCCGTGGCCCGGAGCAAGACCATGCCCCCACAGGTGCCCCCTCGCACCTATAACTCCCGCGGTGCTAACCGCAAAAATGCAGCCCCTGGGAAGAACCACCGAATCTCTGCTGCTCCGGTGAGGACCTGTGCGTCTTCTGTCCTCTTTGCTCACAGCCATCGTCAGTGATCAAGAGTCATTGTTCTCTATTTTATTTTATTTGCTATTGTTCCAAATCCATATCTTTCGTCTTCTCTTCCCCTCCTCTCCTGTCACGGAGCCCTTGGGTCCTGATGAGGGAGAGGAAGATGATGCCAGTGGAGACATTGCCTCTTTGGGGGGCTGGGTGTTCTGTGTCTTGGCCCTCTCTTCTGGGCCAGGCAATTTGGATCCCAGGTACCTAGCGTGCATCCACTTGGTGCTGTAGGACCTGGACTGGTGGCTCTGGCCAGTTGGCTTGGTGACTGCAGTGAGTTGCTTCTGCTTTCTGGGTTCTTTGCCAACAACATTGTGTAGCTGTAAGGCACCCACTCTGGGTGCAGTAAGAATCCTCATGTGACCCACTGAGGTAGAACCCCCCATACTCTAACTGGGTAGCTTCAGGTGTGCAGGGAGCAAAGGGGGAGTCAGCAGCCAGCCTGCTGCCTTGTTCCAAAGCTCCTCCTCCTGGCTCTCTGTCTCCCACGTTGTCTATCTGGCTCTTTTCTCTCACTGCCTCTTCTCCTTCACTCCCTGATGCTGTCTTGCTCTCTCTCTTTTTTTTTTTTTTTAAGATTTATTTATTTATGCATACAGAGGTATGGGAGGTGAGAGGGTTCACCAGAGACAGAGTGGGGAGCAGAACAGGATGACTGACAAAGTACACTGCTGAGGGGAGCAGCGGGTGAGACAGGAGAGGTCTGCTGCACCATGTTTCACCTCCTTGACTGGGGATCGAACTTGTGCTGCAGTGGCTGCAGATAGTGCTGTGTTTTAACCAGTTGTACTACCAAGGAGGGCCCGTCAACCATTTCTTTTCACAGTGAAAATATTTAGAAATAGTATACAGTGTGACAATGATTCACTTTTGTCAATACATAGTATGAAATGACACTGTATTTCTAGAGAAGCACTAAGGGGCTTAGGCAGCTTTGATCCTTTCCTCTGGTTTAAAAAAGTATTATCTCCATGGTGTGTTTGGTCCTCCTCCCCTGGAAATGCTGGCCCCAGGGCCAACAAGAAGCACCCATGTGGCCCATGATTTCTGCGGTGATGTTGCACCAGTGAATTCCATCCCTGGTTCTTCCATATCCGCTGTCTAAGGGATCCTGGGGCGTCCTCACCTCTGTCCAGCACCTGGGATCCTTCACAACCCTGGAAAATCACATGGTCCTTTCTTCCCGGGCTTCTGCTCAGAGAGTCTCCCAAAGCAGAATCAGCTCCTAGGATCAGCCCCAGCCCAGGAGCTCCGGGCTTTTTAAAGCCCTGCTCTACGAGGTGGGGCTGCCCCTGCTATTTATAGGAACAGGGAGATTCCCGTTCCCAGGGCACTGAGCTGGGCCTGCTCACTGAGTCAGGCGCTGTGGTAGGTGGTCACCCCTGTTGCTCCCTTTCTCTCCTGCTTCCCTCCACTTCCTCACCCTTCCCCCCAGCCCGTGTGTCATCAGCGTCCTGAGAGGGAGCTCGGTCCATAGTCTCCTTGAAGACACAAGAGCAAGCTGAAAGCTCTTGCCAGTTCTTGGTGGGGAATGCGGCCTTGGTCCTCCCCACCTCCACTTGGGAGGGGAGACCCCCTGGGCTCTCGGCCTGTACCACCACCCCGCCCTCGCCGGGCTTCCAGCCGGAATGGTCTTCCTTATCCCAGGCCTGTGGAGCCAACTCTGGAATTGGTTGGGTCCAAATGCCAGCCTGGTACCCCCGCTGCCAGCCTCTGCCTGGCGGACCCCCCCAGCCAGCATCGGGCGATGCCACCAGGGCCTGCCAGCAGGGCAAACGTAAGTGGCTTTTGTTTTCTTATGGAGCCAGTGAGTGGTACTGAAGGGGCCTGGAAATGGCCTTCAGTAGCCACTGTGTTCTCTGCCCTGTTGCCTTTCCTGGCTTTCTTGTTCCTCTCCCTCTGTCCGCCTCTTTCTGTCTCTCTTTGTTTCTCTCTCTGTCTTTGTTTCTGTGTGTGTGTGTGTGTGTGTGTCTCCTCACTTGTATGGGTTAATTGCCGACAGTGGCGCTATTGTTTTGACTGGGACACAGGCACGAACTTGGCAGAGCCAGGGCCTCACATGTCATCTGCCCCCGCTGCTATGCCCACTCTGTGCTCACCCAGGGGAGCAGGGCTAACGAGAGAGAGCGTCAGAGGGAACAATCTGGATATTCAAATGACTAGCCCAGTCGCTGCCATCTGCCCCAACCTGAGCGTAGCTGGGGGAAGCGGAGAGGTGAGGTGTTGCTGTGAGCACAGACTCACAGACATGATCCCCGGAAGCAGCTGCTGACTCCGGCTGCCTTTACCGGATGTGGCCGGGCGCTTCATTGGAGCTGCAGCTTCATGCCCCTGGGGTGGCCGCTGCTCTGGGCCAGCTGGTCAGGGCAGAAACCTGTCATGCACCAGCTCTCCCTCTACTTCCTCCTGCCAGGCTGGGCTGCAGGCCTTGTTTGGGGGTTCCTGTAGAAGTCTTCACGGGTGACTAAAAGCAGCTCTGTGATGGGGGACCCTTTGAGCTCTTGTCGGAGAGGATATCCCTCCTATCACACACCTGCTCTTGGATAAGAAGTAGGACCCAGGCTGGCTCCCTAATATTCAAGCTGTCCAGACAACCTGAGAGGCAGGAGGGCCTAAGCTTCTACCAAGAGGAGCCTCCACCATGTTCTGTGCAGCCCAGACTACTGCCTTGACACTTTCTTCCTCATACAGCATTGACCCAGAAGTCACAGGTGCCTGAGTCACTGCTTCCACCCAAGCGCTCCCTCGAGCTGGCTCTGCTTTGAGTCCTGAAGGCTTGCTGTGGGTGCCAAGGCTTTTGCCCCAGACCTTGCTTTCCCTGGGGACCGCTTGGGCCATGTACTGACGCTGGTTTCAGGCATATAGCAGAATAACTGCCTGCTCTGATCCCTTACCCAGCCCCTGGGAGCATCCCCCAGGAAGCCAGCTGTTAGCCCAGCCACTCCACACACTGTTGAACCTGCTGGACTGACATTGTTAGACTGTCCACTCTGCAAGTGGCTTCGGCCACAGTCTTGTCTGTCCTGCCCAGGCCTCTGTACTCAGCCAAGTTTTCAAGTCCTCCTTGACTTGGCTTTTGGTCTCCTAGGATGGCAAATAAATATTTTCCTGGATTCCCCATATTTTCTTATGCCAACATTCACTGAATGTTGATTGACTAGAAAAGTCTTATTTTTTTTTTTAACATGGTATTTTTCTTCCTCTAGAGAATCAGTATCCCAAGTAGCTATGTTATAGAGTGAGGGCAAATTTTGCATAAATTATTTTTTAATCAAGTTCATCTATCACCAACTATTAAATCCCCTAAGCCCTTTCTCCTACCCACACCCACCCTCTTCCCCTTTGGCAACTTATTTTTGTGGTCAGTATCTACTGCATTATTTTGTCTTGTCCATTCATCTGCTTTGTTTTCTTATATTGTACATATAGTTGAAATCGTCTAACATTTGCTTTTCTCCTTCTAATTTATTTCATTTTGTGACTCCTCTCCCATTTTTCTGCAGATGGTAAAACCCCCTGCCCCATCTTTTTAATGGCTGCATACTATTCCACTGTATATATGTACTACATCTTTATCCAGCCATCCACCAGTTGGCACCTATGTTGTTCCTGTATCTCAGCTAATCTAGAGAGTCCTGTAGTGCACAGTGGTCCATATAACTCCATGTATTAATGATTTCATATTCTTTATTTTTTTTTTAAAGATTTTATTTATTCATACAGAACTGAGGTACAGGCCAGAGATGCGGAGGGTGAGAGGATTTACCAGAGACAGAGTGGAGTACAGAACAGGCAGATCCACGAAGTATACTGCTGAGGGGAGCAGCTGGCGGGTCAGGAGAGGTCTGCTACTCCATGTGGTCACCTCCGGGGCAGGCAGGAATCGAACTCATGCGGAAGTGGTTTTAGCTTCTTAGTGCTGTGCTTTAACCTGCTGCACCCCAAGGAGGGCCCGATTTCATATTCTTTAAATAGATATCCAGAAGTGGGATTGCTGATTTACATGATAGCCCTAATTTTAGCTTTTTTGAGGAAGATCCATACCTCTTCCTAAAATGGTTGTGTCAGTTTATATCCCCACCCATATTATATAAAGGTTCCTTTTTCTCCGTACCCTCACCCACACTTTACTGTCTTTTTGATGTAGGTCACTCTTACAGGTATGAAGTGATATCTCATTGTGTTTTGGATCTGCACACCCCTCAATATAAGCATGTCTTCCTGGGTCTGTGGGCCACCTCTGTGTCCTCTTCAGAGACGTGACCAAATCCCTGCCCATTTTTTGACTGCGTTACTTGTTTTTCTGTTGTTCAGTTGCGTGAGTTCCTTAGAGCTTTCATGTTAACTAGAAAAGTCTTGATGCCTAGAAGTTAAGAGTTTGAGACTGGGAGCTGCCAGTGGGAAGGTGATGGAGGGGGAGAGAGAGATGACACAGCTGCTCTTCTCTTAAAGGTGGGTTCCCGGCCCCATGCCGTCGCCAATGGGCATGAGTTGTTTGAGGTCTCAGAGGAGAGAGATGAGGAAGTTGCTGCATTTTGCCACATGCTGGATGTGTAAGAGTTAAAGAATGGGGGATTAGGGTGGGGTGTGGTGGCTGGGAGGGGAGGGCCACCCCTTTGAGAACTTTCTTAGGAATGAAGAAGAGTGGTATTGAATAACTCTAAAGGTACAACTCCCGGACCCTCCCTACAGCAGGAGTGCGCAGGCTTTATGAAGTTTGAGCTGCGCTGTTTTTTGACAACATGCATGAAACTTTCTTCTAACACTTCAGTTATCCCAATCACTTAAGACTCACTGGCCCGGAGGAGCAGATGCACCCCAGATGGAGATAAGAATGTCATCTAGAGCAAAAAAAAAAAAAGAAAGAAAGAAAAGAAACAGATTTGGTTTGGAAATTTTCTTTGCTGTGGAAAGCTTTGTTTTACAACGATCCCTACAGTTCAACTCTGTCTGGGAAGCCATTTGCAACTATAGCAAATATGTGATGAACATGGTTTCCCAGGGTTGTTGTTCCCTCACATCCCCCAGACCAGGAGGGCCTTGCCGGCTCTGTGGGCACTGAGGGGCCCCTGGACCTTGGGGTAGGAATGTCCCAGCGGGCTTCTTCCTGACTGCTCTCTTCTGAAGGCACAGCTAGGTCTTTGCCCTCTCTCCCTGCACAGTCTACGTGCTGGCTCGGACATTCAGGAGTATGCCCTCACTGGATATGTCTGGAGTGCCGTGACGCCAAGCCCAGAGCACCTTGGGGATGAGGTCAACCTGAAGGTGACCGTATTGTGTAACAGCCTCCGGGAGCCGCTCACGTTTACCTGCAACTGTGAGTGAGTGGTGAGAGCGGGCGGTGTTTGGTCCTTGTTTCCGATGCTTCTTTGTGGCCCAAATGAGGGGCAGAGGGGAACTCCTGCTACTGGCTCTATGGCAGTTTTTTAGGTCCACAATTACTTCCCTCAGCCTTGTGCCGCGTCATTGCTTGCTGAGGCTCCAGAGCTGCTTAGCTGAGAGGAGTCCACACGGGGATGCTGGGTCCCACCAGGCCCAGGACCTGTGTTCACGGCTCCCCCCGGGCCCACCCTCCAGGTTCCTCCACTGTAGACCTGCTCATCTACCAGACCCTGTGCTACACCCACGACGAGTTGAGGGAGGTGGACGTGGGCGACTTCGTGCTGAAACCCTGTGGGCTGGAGGAGTTCCTGCAAAAGTGAGTGAAGGGCCTGGATGTATGGGGCAGCAGGCCTGAGGGATGCTGGGGCGGGCGGTGCTGGGCTCAGGCTCAGGCTGGCAGCTCCACCCCAACCCTGACAGGACTCCTGCTTTCTGGGCATTCTCTCAGCCACGTTGCGCTTTCCCCAGGAGCTCAGCCAGTAGGCTGGCTGAGCTTCTGGGCCAAGTCTGCTGTGGAAAGAGCTTGCAGTTGGGCTTAGGCGAAGTCTGTTTTCTTGCAGACTTCATTGCTGGAGATGTGTATGGGGTGGGGGTGGGGGTGGGGGCTGGTGGGGTTATCGCTACTGCCCTGGATTATGAGTCATGTCTTTATGGTCGGGGGCAGGAGGAGCATGGGGCAGAAATGCCCTTGTGGAGTCTGGGGAGAGATTACAGTTGCTCTCCTCTCCTGGCTAACCAGCCTTCCCTGCCTGGCACGGGCATCTGGTTCTCCTCACCAGGGCTCGGCTCCAGTGCCCCATCCTGTGCCCTCTGCAGCAAGCAGCCTCCCTGGAAAGTCTGACATGGTCCAACTGTAGCCACCCCCCTCCCACTGCCCTGGGGCTCTGGAGACAGGGTGGAGAGTAGCGGGGATCATTGCCGTTGGGTGCTACATTTTGTGGCAGGCTGGGGATTCAGCAAGGACCACCCGTCAGGAAATAAAGAAAGCTGTGTCCTCGCCTGGATGCCCACTGCCCACTCCCTCTGGCCCCCCAGAGGTGGTAGGCCTGAAAGCAGGGGAGGCAGAGGCTGCATCAGTTCTTAGCAGTGCTGACCACTGTCCCTGCCAGCTCGTCCTCTTCCGTCCAGGCCGAGATACCTGGCTGTTCATGATGGTCGCAGTTCTTGGCTCATTTCTGTAATCTCAGGGATACAATATCCCATTCTGGCCCTGGTGTCCTCAGCTGGAAGACTGAGGGAATGGAAGCGGGGTGTCCCGTGTGGCACAACTGTGGGGGCATCGTTTGGACGTATTCCGTGTGTGACCACTCTCCCGGAGAGTAGCAAGCAGGTGTAGTCTCAGGGTTTCCCAGTGCAGGGCCGCCCGCAGGGATCTAAGGACACAGTGGGTCCAGTTTAATTCCTGGCCACGCACGTGGCTGGTTAGTATCATGGTTGCCGCCTACTAGCTTTAAGCCCCAACCTGCAGTTTCCTTTGTAAAATGGAGCAGGCTTACACGTGAGATCACCCAGGAAGCTGTTGATGCCTAGCGGCAGGGAAGGACCAGCCTGAGGAAGGGACGCTCAGGGATCGGGTACGCTGGACGCTGTCATTTCCCTTGCAGGCCCCCATGTCCTTGAGCACCCCCAGTTCAGAGGTGGTGCAGAGGCCCTCAGGTCCTGACTCCCGGGCAGGCCTGGGGCAGAGTTCAGGGCTAGGTGGAGTAGCATGGAGTGGTTCCCCCAGCTGAACTGAGTGCACATGGAGGACGCAAGGGCCTTGGGGACCCAAAAAACCGGTAGCTCATAAAGAAGGCCTTAGCTGCTCACCAGGCCTGGCAGGAGGGGCCGATGTGAGGAGTGCTGGGCCAGGATGTAGGCTGCTCGCAGATAAGAACTTTGCATAGTCCTGGGGGAAGGCTGGGTTTCCTGCTACCGCCACCCCACTCTTCCTTCCTCCCAAGGCACTCCCCAGCCCCAGCCCCCCAGCACAGCCTCTCTACCCCCAGCTTTTGACAACAGCTCAGTCTGAGCATGCTGGAACCCGGATGACGGGCGTGGCCCCTCAGGATGTGGAGACCCCTTTAAGTGCTGGCTGGCCCTGGACTGGCCTAAGACCTGGCTCCTCTGTCACCTTCTGCACATCCCCTTCCCTGGACTCGTCTCCCCTCCGCTTCCCTCCACTCTGGCCTAGACTCCCAGCTCTACTGAGGAAGGAAGTCCCTTCCGGCTTCTGTTACCCAGTTGCTGGGGCCTGGCCAAGCCTTCAAGACTGGCTTGGAAGTGGGATACATTTTGCCTTCTCTTGGCTTTTCTTTCTGATTAAGGTAGATCTGGGTGGGACGATGAGGCTGGTTTGCAAGAGGACTTCTGAGGCTACCTTCTCTGAAACTGGGGGTCTCCTGTGGTGGGAATGGTGTGTGGGAGGCTGTTGGCTAGAAAGTCTATAGCCATTTATATGGCCGTTTGCCATGAGGCAGGGCCATAGGAGGGGAGCACAGATGGGGATGGAGACCTGGAGCCATGGTGGGTCCCAGCAGAGGGTAGGAGACCGAGGCCACAGTGGAAGAGTCCCTCCACGTATGGCTTCCAGTGTGCCCCAGCACGTGTCAACACTTGCCCTGAGCCGTCCCTGTGCTCCTGATCCCTCCAGAAGTTCCCGTCTTTGGAGAGAACCAGTGATAACAACACAAGGCTTAATACCTAGGAGAGTGGAAGGAGTGCCTCTGGCTGCGTGTGCTGGTGGCTTTCCTTAGACACTCCTCCCCAGAGCTCTATGGCACGTCCTAGGAACCAGGGTTGGGGTGCAACACAGTGCCACCCCCTGCCTGGGTCTTCTTCCTGCTCCTCTCCCTTCCTGGGAGTCCTGGATGCTAATGGCCTGTCCTCTGCCCCCCCAGCAAGCACGCCCTGGGCAGCCATGAATACATTCAGTACTGCCGCAAGTTTGGCATTGACATTCGGCTACAGCTGATGGAGCAGAAAGCCGTCCGCCGTGAGCTGGCCCGGACGGTGCGTGGGGGCGGCCACTGATGGCCATGGGGCTGAGGGGTGCGGGGGGCAGGGGTGAGGCTGAAGGGAGTGGGAGCTGGGGGTGAGGTCAAGGTACCACCCTGAGTGGGACGCCTCTCGTGCAGGCGAGTGACGACCAGAGCCCCTCCACCTTGAACTACCTCGTCCACCTGCAGGAGAGGCCGGTCAAGCAGACCATCAGCAGGTGAGACTGGGCTCATCTTGGGTGTGGCCCAACAGGAACCTTGAGGGGATCTCAGCAGATCCCTTTTCTTCTCTCTCCGGGCCCCAGGATCTTGTTGGGGGTAGGACCTGGGTGTTAGGGACCACCCCATCCAGGGCAGATCACAGCTTCCTCCCTTCAGTGGCACAGTAGAGGGGATTTGCCTTCCTCCGGTCTTCATGGGACATCTGGACGGAGAGGGCCCTCCTTCAAACACAAGTCTGACTCCTGGGCTGTGAAGAGGGAGGGAGAGGATGGTTCTCCCAGGGGTTCTGCCCCGACCCTTCCTGTGACTTTTCCCCGCCCCACCTCCCAGGCAGGCCCTGAGTCTTCTGTTCGACACTTACCATAACGAGGTGGACGCCTTCCTGCTGGCTGACGTGAGTATAGCAACACGGGCCGCTCCTGCTGCTGAGAGCACCCCCTCCTGCCCCCACCCCCCACCCCAGTCTTCCTGGCATCAGTGGTGTTACGGGATCTGGAATGGACACTGGGGCGGCTGGTGCGCATTCGGAGAGGGCCCTGCCCCTCTGCTGAGGGAGCCTGGGCACCTGTTTGACCCTGTCTTGGGCATCCCAACCTTCACGGCGGCCATGGTCCTCTCCGCTGTACTTGAGTGCATGTTGCAGTGGAGCCTGAGAGCTGTTTTTGGGGCCCTCTGGCTTGAGAGGTTCTGATGTGCTGGTGTCACAGATAGAAAAATTTCAGGACCCAAAGGGAGGTGAAGGAAGGAAAGCCCTGGATTCGTATGGAGGGTTTTTTTTTTTGTTTTTTTTTTAAGATTTATTTATTTAGGCCCTCCCTGGTGGCACAGAGGGTTAGGGTGCAGCAGTGTAAGCTGGCCACAGTCACTTCCATGGAGTTCGATCTCCTGCCCCAGAGGTGACCACATGGCACTGCAGACCTCTCCTGTCCCCCCGCTGCTCCCCTCAGCAGTGGACTTTGTTTATCTGCCTGTTCTGCTCCCCGCTCTGTCTCTGGTGAATCCTCTTACCCCCCTGCACCTCTGGCCTGTACCCCAGTTCCGTATGCAAAAAAAAAATCTTTTTTCTTTTTAAGATTTAGTTTTTAATTTTTTAAAGATTTATTCTTTAATCTTTTTTGAAAGATTTATTTTTTAATCTTTTTTTAAGATTTATTTATGCATAAAGAACTTGTCTGGCCCTGTGTTGGCAGCTGCAGGAATAGAGTGTAAGAATCCAGGGAACTGGTAGTGTCTGAAAAAGAAATACTATAAAGCTTATAGGAGACAGAGCAGGATAGCGATGAGTTAGTGAGGGACCCTGGAGGGGGCCAGGTGGAGGACCTGGGCGGGGGCCGGCGCAGGAGGAAGACTTTAGAAGGAGCCAGTCCATTATTTGAATTGACTGAGGTAGTCACGGTAAGGTAGTTGGCAAGAACCACTGGGACCAAGTGCAGAGAGGGGCGAGTGACGTCTGGGTCGCAATGATGTTTGGGAATCGGTGAAAATATGGAAGTAAGCCACGGGGCAGGCGGGGCCTGTGTGGTGTCTGTGGCCCCCTCGTGAATCCCTGTGGATTGGTTTTTTTCTAACTGGCATGTCTCAGGGAGAGACCTGTGTTTGCACAGTGTAAGTAGAGTAGCCGAGAGGGAGACTGGGAATAGAGGAGGTCCAGGGAGAGAAGCTAGGAGAATCGGGAATGTGGCCATGGCTGGTTTAATTCAATAGGAACAATGTTTGCTGATGCCAGGCATTTGAAACTAGAACACAGATTCTACGCCTTACCCCCGAGTCCTGGAGACCCTGCTCCTCCCAAACTGTTTGTGCTACACTGCACAGGGGCCGGGAGGCTGGCTGTCAGCCTCACTGTGTTGTCTCCTGCAGGGGGACTTCCCGCTGAAGGCTGACAGGGTGGTCCAGTCCGTCAAGGCCATCTGCAACGCCCTGGCTGCTGTGGAGACGCCTGAGATCACCAGCGCCCTCAACCAGCTGCCTCCCTGCCCCTCCCGCATGCAGCCTAAAATTCAGAAGGTATTGGTGCCCAGAGCGCTGTGGGGGGCAGCGGGAGAGACATTCGCAGGCTCACTGTGAGTAGGTGTCCTCTCACAGAAGTGGAAGACTCTCCGCCTCCATCCTTTTTGTGTGACAGTTTAACCACAGATTTCTTGGGACATGAATACCAAGTGTGACCCCTTCCGGGAGGGATGACAGTGTCCAGAGTCGGGGCCACCAAAGGCTTTATTTATAGTCCCTGAGGCCTTCGCAGTCACCGGGCATGGCAGTTTGCATATCCACCGGGATGCAATACCCGGATCTTCCCTGAGCCTGTGCTCCGTGACTCCACGGCGGGGCTGTCGCTGTGCTGATGCAGCCAGGGCAGTAGTCGCTGTGAACTGCAAAGGCTGAGGGTTGGCATGTCTTGTGTGGGTGGACGTCATGATTTTGATCCTTGGCCAGTCTCCATCCACCCCATGGATCTGCTACGAATCATTACTCTATTCTCCCAGGGGAATCTCTGCTTCTTAAATTTCAGCCCCGTCTGGTGCAGATGAGCACAGCTGTGAAAGCCCTTCTTCCAGCTGGAAAAGGCCTGGCTCTGAAGCTCCCCTCCCTGTCCTCTTTCCCTAACAGGATCCCACTGTCCTGGCCGTGAGAGAAAACCGAGGTAAGGTACCAGCCTCGGGAGTGTCCAGTAGAGGTGGCCGAGAACAGCCTTTTCTACCCAGAACCTGTTTTCCCTGGTCCACTAGATTTATGGGTCCAAGTCTGCCATCTGTGTGCACACATGTGTGTGCGTGTATGGGCGTGTGTACGCATGTGCGTGTGCCCCTGGGGTTTCCTATATGAGGCATGGGTGCAGCTGGAGAGCACATTTCTTTCCACAGGCTGTTTTCTCATCCTCTTTACCGGTTATTCCTGTGGTTCCCCGGGAGATGGTGATGAGGTGGTGTAAATGTGGGGGTAGGGACAGTGAGGGACGGTGAGGCAGCCAGCCCCGGCTTCAGATGGAAAAGCTCTCCCTTGGGTAGCTGGTGATTTTTCTCCAGCCGCATCACCCTGTATTTCCAGTTTAGAATGGCCCTGGGAAGAAGGCAGCAAAGTATTTTTCACTAGGATTCCCTCTTGGAGTCTTCTTTTTTTTTCTTTAAAGATTTATTTATGCACGTAAGAACTGGGTTACAGGCCAGCAGTGCGAAAGGGTGAGAGGATTCACCAGTGACAGAGTGGGGAGTAGAACAGTCAGATCTGCTGAAATATAGTGTTGAGGGGACCGGCGGGCAGAGACAGAAGTGGTCTGCTGTGCCATGTAGGTCACACTCCCCGGGCAGGATGGAACTCATGCAATGGTGGGTGCTAATAGCTTTATAGTGCTGTGCTTTAATCCACTGCACCACCATGGAGGGCCCGCCCACCCTCTTTGAGTCTTTTAAGCAGAGTTTTCCCTATAAAGCCCTGTCTCTGGCCTCCTGCTCAGTGACTGCCCAGTCTTCCTGATTTCACGGGCCAATGCATATCTCAGAAAGAAATCTTGGGGCCAACGCAGAATTTGTCGGCTTTCATTTTGCCAAGCAGTAACTTTTTGAAAATAATTGACAACTGTCCTTCCTACTGTTTCCTAATAGAACACTAAATGAGGGTCAATACATAAAAATAGGGACAACGTTTAAAATGGAATAACTATCATTTTATGAAAAGTTTGTGACACACTCCTGCTTTTTTTCTCATTTCACTTCATTGGGTGAACTTTGTCACCACTGTTAGAAACCAGCTCGCTTTGGGGACTACTGTCCTAGAATGTCCCGGTCTAGCCAACACCATGGGAACAAGATGGGGCTGGCTGAGGCTCGGGACTGCCTGTTGACCCCGTCCTTTCACAGAGAAGGCTGTGGAAGCCCTGACGGCTGCCATCTTGGATCTGGTAGAGCTCTACTGCAATACGTTCAACGCGGACTTCCAGACCACTGTGCCCGGGAGCTGCAGGCATGACCTGGTGCAAGAGGCCTGCCACTTCTCGGTGCCCCTGACCTTCACAGTCTACGCGTCCCACCGCATCCCCATCATCTGGGTTACGAGGTGAGCCTGTCACATGGCAGAAGGGAAACTTAGACACCAGGGCTAACAAGAAGCAGGTCTGTTGCACCCATGCTGACTCAGCAGATTCTCCTTCAAAGGCAGACCCCTGTTTGTAGGAAGTCAAGGGTTAGAGACACTTTCAGTTTCTACAAGGTTCCGGTGGGTTTGTATTGGCAGCTCGTACATGGTCAGATACGACATGGCTGCACACCAAGGGTGAGGAAGGTGTCAGTAGTCATGGGATCCCCACATGTCCATTGTGCCTCATAGTGGTACGTGGTCTAACATGAAGCAAAATTCATACCAGGGATTAAGTTGTATACCATGCATTGAGCAAAAACTTGTTATTAAGAACCCCCAGGCAGCTTATCTAGGGTGACCATGCATCAGGCTAGGGCTGAGTAGCCTCTAGCATGGGAGCCATGCTTGACTTTTGGGAGGCTTCTCCTGGCCGCACATGACCCCGCTGTCCCAAGTTTAGGGTCTGCGGCATCATGATGCCCAGTGGACAAGCCAGTTGCCCCTGGGGAGTGGGTGGGGGGTGTGAGGGGGGAGTCTGGGACAACCCAGAGGAGAGAGGGGTCTCCAGATGAGCAGGCAGAGAAGCATCAGATCCTGCCATTCCCTCTCAGCGCTGGCTGCTCGGGCATCCCTGCCCCCTCCAGTCCAAGGCCAGCTGATGGAGACTTGGCGACAGATGGCCGCTTCCCAGATAGAGTGCATGCCCCATGGCCAATGACTGCACTCCCCTGCAGATGCACAATGGGCGGGCGGGGAGGTGGGCGATGACCCTTTGTCTGGAGTTCCCCAGGCCTGCAAGGGTGGGTGGGGGGCCGTGCATTTGGTAATCCTCAGCTTCTCCGCAGGGTCCCCAGCGGTCCAAGGCTTGGGGAAATAAGCCTTGACTCCACACACCCCCCTCCAGACTCCCCTCCTTCCCCTCCCCCTACTCTCTTTGTTCCTCACTTAATGTATTCCTCTGGGCGATTGGTGGAGAACAAAGGAGGCAGCCTGGGAAACCAGGGCCTTCTCTGACCTCTTCTGTCAGGCACCTGTCACAAGCCACAGGGACCCCCATGTATTGGCATTCATGTCGGCATATGTCGTTTTCATCCCCCACCCTTCTCACCTGCGCATGCGCGTGCGCACACGCGCACTGGCCTCCGGATGGAGCGTGCTCAAGGAGGAGGCTGTGGGCTGGATCCCAGTAGGAAGAAAAACCACCGGCCTGCAGCCTGAAACTGGGCCCAGCAATACAGCTTGACTTTCCTGCCCTGAGACCCATTGTTACAGCCTCTAGAGACCCAGTGGAGTTTTACCAGGGGAATGGAGCTTGGCATAGGTTGGGTAAGGTTGAGCTGGGACTTGGGAGTCCAGTGTTCTGATCTGCCCCCTTTCTCTTGTAGCTATGAAGAATTTTTCCTTTCCTGCTCCCTCAGCCACGGCGGCAAGGAGCTGTGCAGCCCCCTGCAGACCCGACGGGTGCACTTCTCCAAATACCTCTTCCACCTCATCATTTGGGACCAGCAGTAAGCCCCCTTCCACACCCAGGCCCAGGCCACTGCACATCCGCTTAGGCTCCCAGTGGTCAGACCCAGCCTATTACGCCAGGCTGTCAGCAACCCTTACCTGACCAGTCTCTCTGCCTCTAAGGCACCACTTTTCTGATGCTTCAGTGAGACTGATGTCATCTTTTGGAGTTCGGGGTCCTTGGTTTCACTGTGGGAAAGGTTTCACCAGAGCTCCTCTTTCAGCGGCACATGGTGAGATTCTCCACCAGACGGAGAATCAGTTATATTTAAAGAGCAAGTTTATTAGAAAGAGACAGGAGAGGAAGACTCTTGCATAGGCACAAGCGGACAGGAAGAGCTGCCCTGAAAGGACAGGCTTGCTGAGAGAGGCCTGCATGGCTCCAGGCGGGCGGCCTTAGGAGAGCAGCCTCCGCTGAGGGAGGTCAGTGCAGAGAAGCCCAGCAGGTGCAGGCCACGGGCAGGCAGGAGGCTGCTGTCCTGCGGAGGGAGAGAGTGGGTGGAAAGAAGCACCTGCATCGTCACAGGACGGCTGCCCTGTGCTGGTGCAGAGACTGCCCTGATATAGACAGCTTCTCTTTGCGGGGGCTCACTCCTTGTATGCCTAGGTAGAACTTGAGAGGACCAGATATTTCCAGATGAGCTTCGTCTCCATGTCCTTATCTTTTACCTTTTGGGTCTGAGCTTCAGGCATAGCCCCCAACAGTCTGTTATCTGCTGGGACCTCTTGGAGACATCCAGGCTTCCCAGACATCCTGGACATCCTGGACATTGGGCTTTGGCGCCTGAGGACCTTGATGTTGTGGCTGTGTCAGTTGCTGCGCTAGTCCCTTCTATCTGTCCCCCTTATGCGACTCAGTCTTGTGATTCCTCCCCTGCATTCCTTCCTCCATCAAGACCAGTGTAAATTCTGCCTCGAGTTGCTGTCAAATGCCACAAGGAAGTAGCTGCAAAGGACCACAAACCACACGCATGTCAATTGTTCATTTTAGTAATAGCTCATTATTTTGAACTGAGCTCCCTTAAAGGTCTAGAGGGTTCTTACTCTCTCAAATAGAGATTCAAGGATGGGGAGAAAGAGGACTGTGATTTCTCCCTGATGGGTAGAGAAAGGAAGGTCATTGAAGGAAAGAAGGATGGGCTTGGAACCACAGGAACAAGCCTTTATTTCTCGTTCTGTCTCTATAGTCCTGGGTTCTTTTTGGCTTCTCGGGGGCTCAGTTTGTCCAACTGTGAAGTGGATGCATTTGTATAACTCTGAAGCAGTGTGGCAGTGAAATGAGATTGGCAGGTTATAATGTAAATATGAAACCACAGGCACAAGATGATATGAATCATCATTTATCAAGGATAATTTGCTGTCGGGAATGTAGGTGAATGCCACGCAAAGAGACAAGGATGCCTTGAATGGAGGTTTTGGGGTGTTCACCTCCCAGTGCCATTACTGTGTACTCTGTCCTCCAGAGCGTCCAGACCCCATTTGCTGGCCTCAGCTTCCCTCCCCCGGACTGTACCTCATAATCTTTGCAGAGCAGAGTTGCACCTTGACTGCCTGGAGTACAGGTTAAAGAATCCCAGGGGGCTCCTGCGGAGGCCAGGGGTGCAAAATGGGGAGACAAAGTGTCTGTGGACTTGGTGGAAGGGCGGGTCACCTGATAGATGGACAAGTGGGAGGCAGGACCTTGCCCCGGCCTTACACTTGTGTGACTCTAGGGCCATAAAGGTATAAATGAAAACCTTTTTTTTCCTCTTAATTTTATAATAGTTTATTTTTACATCATTTTGTGCATTTTTCCATCTCAGTTGCAATTCCCTTGGGTTTCCCATCACCAGATCACCCATGTGCCACTACCATAGTCCAGTGCAATAAATGAAAACCTTTAACCTAACACTCACCAGGGCAGGAGAGACTTCTGGAAGCCGATGATGCTGCCTGGGTGGCTGCTGAGTTTCACCCCACCTTGGGACTCGCTGGCCTCAGATCCTTCCGCTGCCAAGGGAGGGGTTCCAGACAGCTCTGTGGCCCAGGCAGACGCCACAAAATGGACTTTAGACCCTTTTGCCACAGTGTGACAGTGGAGTCAGAGCAGGTGGGCTGACCTCTCAGCCTGCCTACCTGGGGGTAGGCAGTCTTTCCACCCCCTGTCTGAGAGTTGTACCTTGAATTCCAGAGGCTGGTCCTGGCCTGGACCCATAGAGGGTGCCCTTTCAGTGCTACCCACTCAGTTGCCCCACAAAGGTCCTCTTGGCACTTTAAAAAAAAAAAGATTTATTTACTTATGCTTATAGCACTGGGGTACAGGCCAGAGGATCCGCCAGAGACAGAGTGGGGAGCAGAACAGGCAGATTGACAAAGTCCACTGCTGAGGGGAGCAGCGGGTGGGTCAGGAGAGGTCTGTTGCCCCACGGGGTTCAGCTCCCTGGCCGGGAATCAAACCTGTGCTGCGGTGGCTGTGGAGAGCTTCCTAATGTGGTGCTTTAACCTGTTGCGCCACTAGGGAGGGCCCCCTTTTGGCAATTTTATGGTCAAGAACAAGGCTTTGGGGATGTGGTGCTAGAGTGTAGGGTTCAAAGTCAGCCACCACCACCCCTTCTTACTGCAGGTGACCTCCAGCAGCCTAGCACTGCTTGGAAGCAGTGGCATGTTGAAGGTGAAGTGCTTGGCACGGGGTCAGCACTTTCTTCTTCATCATCCTTGTTAAGGAAGCCGCTCCGTTTTCAGTTTCAGTGTCTCTGTCTCAGGTGACTGACACAGAGGATATTTGTGCATGAAAATATAGTGCAGTGCTGGTGGGAATGCAAACTAGTACAACCACCATGGAAAACTGTTTGGAGGTTCCTCAAACTGCTAAACATGGAGCTTCCCTACGACCCAGCCATCCCACTCCTAGGTATCTACCCAAAAGAACAAAACACTGATTGAAAAAGATACTTGTACCCCCATGTTTATTGCTGCTTTATTTACAATTGGAAAAACATGGAAGCAGCCCAAATGCCCAAAAGTAGATGACTGGATTAAAAAGATGTGGTACATATATACAATGGAATATTACCAGCAAGCAAAAAGATAAGCTCATGCCTTTTGCAGCAACATGGATGGAGCTGGAAGGGATCATGCTTAGTGAGATAAGCCAGAAAGAGAAAGAAAAATACCAGATGGTTTCACTCATAGCAGGAGTATAATGGACCAGATGAGAAAATGACAAAAATAATGAACAACCATATACCAGAGACATTTTGCGGGGATGGAGTGGGGAATGGGATCAAAAACGGGGGTGGGGAGGGAAATGCATGGGATTATGGTGATGGCACACGGGTGATTTGGTGATGGGAAACCCACGGCGATTACAATTGAGATGGAAAAAAAAATGTACAAAATGATGTAAAAATAAACTTTTGTAAAATAAAAAAGAAAAGAAAATACAGTGCAGAGGGTCTTCCCTGGTGACACAACAGGTTAAAAAGCAGCACTTCAGGCCCTCACTGGTGGCACAGCGGGTTAAAGCACTGCACTGAGAAGCTAAAGCCGCTTCCGCATGAGTTCGATTCCCGCCTGCCCCGGAGGTGACCACATGGCGCGGCAGACCTCTCCTGACCCGCCCGCTGCTCCCCTCAGCAGTGTACTTCATCGATCTGCCTGTTCTGCTCCCCGCTCTGTCTCTGGTGAAGCCTTTCACCGCCCCTGAGCCTCTGGCCTGTACCCCAGTTCTGTATGTACAAATAAATAAATCTTTAAAAAAAAAAAAAAAAAAGCAGCGCTTCAAAGCTAGCTGCCACCACCTTAGCACAAGTTCAATACCCAGCCAGGGAGGTGACTCACAGGGCGCTACAGACCTCTCCTGACCCACCCACTGCTCCCCTCAGCAGTGTACTTCATCAGTCGGCCTATTCTGCTCCCCAATCTGTCTGGTGAATCCTCTCACCACTCTAGCACCTCTGGCCTGCATCCCAGTTCTGTATGCATAAATACACAAACTTTTACACTTGATGTTAGCCAAAAGTCCGAGAAGCAATAATACACAAACTTTTAAAAGAAAGAAAAAGAAAATACAGTCCAGAGAGCGTAGTTCTGGTTCAACAGCCACAGTGTCAAATAGCAGGGAGCATACAGTGTCCACAAGCTGTGTCCCCTTTTCACTGGTGGGGAAGTGGAGATGCATAGTCGCCCAGGGTTATGTACAGAGTACGCCCGGGATTCCTGTGGAATCTGACTGGAAGTCAGTCGCACATTCCAGGAGTCCTCCCTGGAGGAGGCAGCCCCTGTGATATATTGAGGAATGGGCTCCAGAGGGAAGGGAAGGGATTTTTCAGGAGGAGTTTCTACAGCCAGGAGGAGGGCTGTCACCAGTATACTAGTTGTCCTGGCTGACCTGGTACAGGTGTTGGGGCAGCTTCTTGGAAGACCGTATCTGCTCAAGGACTGAGAAGGGGGCCTTGGCTGGTTCTAGGGGTCATGGCTTCAGTTAGAAAGTTTCATCATTTCCCTTTTCCTCCAGCTACGAAGCTGGAAGTCTCTTGGGTAAAAAGAAAGGGCCCAGGAGTAGCTCCCACACCTCTTGGCTTGGGGGCAGCTGATTCAGTCTCCACTACAGTAGGATGGGGATCAGCTAACTCTCAAAATAGGCCAAGCAGCCAAGCCCTGGCATGGCATGTCCACTGGCTGCTGGAGGGGCCCTAATTTTAGCTGTGCCCCTCCCCAGCCCCCAAAGAGGAGGCAGCTAGGACAGAGGAGGGCTCTGCCAGTCTCTGAGGAGGAAGGGAGGGAGGACCTCGCCTAGGTAGAGATTCCCCTGGAGGAGGAGTGACAAGCTGTGCTGGAGGGAGGCTGCTTTATCCAAAAACTGCCAGCCTTGGGGTGGCCACCCTCCACTCTGCCTGTGCACCCTCTGGCATCGAATCTGCTGGGCCTGGGCCACCAGGGACGGCCAGGAGGGTGTGACCATGTGGAGTTTGGCCCAGAGACAGCTTCCCCGAAAGGTAACATGGGTTCTCCCTCGCTTTCCACAGCTTCTCTGCTGCACCCCCACCCCCACCCCCCAGCTCCTAATGTTGAACTTGGAGGGAGTGGCTGGGTGTGATTTGGGAGGAGCCCAGAAGAAAACATGGGGCTTGTCTACTCCCCTTTGGCCTTGTCGATTTGCTTCTCACAAGCACACACCCACCCACCCCCGCGCCTCCAACTTCGAGAGGCCATTTCTCTTTATCCCTCTGGCTTTGGAAACATTCACAAATGTCTTGGGGTGAGAGCAAACCATCTTGTGCCAGGGCAAGGGTATAAAGAGAAGAGGACGCAGAGGACGGACATGGGGAGGACAGTGGGGGAGGGGGAACTGAGGCCGCAACCCTGTGGTTCCCTTAGCGGGAAGAGGGTGGGGCGGGGACTGGCAGATGGAAGAGGCTGTGGGAAGGTCCTTGGTGACCCTCTGCGGAACTCCTCCGACAAGGGAAGGAGTGGCATGTGGCCACCCAACTCAGGCCGAGCCTGCCCTGTCCCGTCCCCTGGAGACCAGCACCAGGGTATTCGCTTCCGTCCCCTGATACGTTCTGGAGACACCGTACATGTTCTGGGGGTGCGAAGTGCAGGCTTTGTCTCTGGTGTCTGCAGGAAAGCTTCCCCAGGGAGCATGTGATCCCCTACGAGGGAGGCCAAGTTCTCAGCCTCAACTTGACCTTGTGGGCCCAGGCCCCTGGAAGCCGCAGAGGCGGCACCCCCTGACCCGGCTTCCTGTGCTTCCTAGGATCTGCTTCCCGGTGCATGTGAACCGGCTGCCTCGGGAGACGCTGCTCTGTGCCACGCTCTATGCTGTGCCCCTGCCCCCGCCCGGGAGCTCCTCGGAGGCCAATAAGCAGCGGCGCACACCTGAAGCCCTGGGCTGGGTCACCACCCCGCTTTTCAACTTCAGGCAGTATGTGGGCCCCGGGCAGCTGCTGCGTGGCCTGGGGAGGGAAGGAAGGGGATAGAGAGAGGGCCCCAGCTGCCGCACAGGCCAGGCCCTCTGGAGGGTCAGCTGCTTGGGGCCCATGGCAGTCCAGAGGGTCCCAGCTCCGGGTGGAGGGGACCTGGGTTGGCCGCGTGGGGCCCATGGCAGGGTCCAGAGGGTCCCAGCCCGGTGGAGGGGACCCGGGTATAGGACTAGGCCCAGGACAGCTGGTGTAACCAAGCTGTCGGGCCTGCCCGGTAGAAAAGGACTGCAGGGAGGGACATGAAAATGCTGTGCTCGGGCAACGTGTCATTGGCTGTGATTGAAGGTCCTTAAAGGTCAGCTAGCCCAGCACACGAACCAAGGTGTGGTTGGCTCAGACAGGCTTCCTGAAGGGGTAGACTTTTTCTACACCTTGGCAAAAGAAATGACCAAAAAGAAATGATTTGGGAGGGATGAGGAGAGGAGTTGGGTGGTGGCTTCAAGCAGAAAAAGCTGTTTTGGGTGAAGGGGCAGCAGGGGAAAAACCATCTCTCTGCCACTCAGCCTGATGCCTTCCTCTTTATAGAGTCCTGACCTGTGGCCGGAAGCTTCTCGGCTTATGGCCAGCAACACAGGAAAACCCCAGCGCCCGCTGGAGTGCACCTAATTTCCACCAGCCGGACAGCGTCATCCTGCAGGTGGGGCCCAGTGCCAGCCTCTCCTCCCCCCCACCCTTTAGGACCTCTCCAGAGTCAGCTTCAAGTTCTCCTCTTGAGTGTTGGAATGGGACAGTGGGAGAAAGCTCTAGCACCTTGGGCCTAGGGGAACGATGTGACTGAGCCAACTGGATGAATGTGGTTAGGCCCAGAGCAAGAGGGTGATTTCTCTGAGCTCTGCAGCCCAGGCCCCAGGGGTGGACTTCGGTTCCACACAGCCGACGGCAGCGTCTGAGACGCATCCGTGTGAGGCTCAGTGCCTTTAGCACAGCCTGACTGGACCTCATCATTCCTGATCAGATCTGGGCTGTCCCCTCCCGGGCATCAAGGGGAGCCCTCCCTGCAGCCAGGCACTGAGAGAGTGCTCTAGTGGGGTCGACCCGCTTATGGGGAGGGGAGAAGGGGCTCTTCAGGTTTAACATCTAGTAACTGGTTTCCGGCTCCCCTTTCTTGTGGTCGTGGGGTGCTGTGGTGTGGAATGTGGATTATCAAATTGCACACAGAGTGACTTGTAGTGGAAGCTCTGAGAGCCGCCCTGTCTCATTCCTCCTCTGTGCCCAGAACCTGGGGTGTCTTGCTTAGCACATGCTACATTCAGTTCTGACGAATGAAGAAACATCGATCTCCTTTGGAGAGCTGGCTGGCTCAGCTCTGATAGGCATTTTAGGGGGTTACCATCTGGCAGGTGGAACAGGGGAACCCAGCATCCATCACAGGCTGGAGAGCTGGTAGCGCTATCACCTGGCACGCGCTCCGGGGTCCACACCAGAGGCCCCGGTGACCCAGCCCGTTTGCTGGCTGGTGAGCCCCATGTCCTCACCTCCCGGCATCTCAGCCCAGCCCCTTCCACATGTGCCTCCTTCTCTCTTTTTGCTGGAAGTGAGAGCTGGAAGGCACTGTCTAGAGATCACTGAGTGCATGCGTCGTTTCTCAGAGAACTGAGGGCAAGCAGGGAGGGTGGCACGAGCTGGCACGAGACCAGAGACTGGGAGTGGCAGCCCACTCACCTGCCACCTTCTCTCCTTGCTTCGCTCACGCCTTGGCCCAGATTGACTTCCCCACCTCGGCTTTCGACGTCAAGTTCACCAGCCCTCCCGGAGACAAGTTCAGCCCCCGCTATGAGTTTGGCAGCCTCCGGGAGGAAGACCAGCGCAAGCTCAGAAACATCACGCAAAAGGAGTCCCTGTACTGGTGAGGCCCAGGGTACCCCCATGCGTGGCTGAGACCCCTGCTAAGTGCCCATGTCTCCTCTCTGTTCTGATCCCCTCCCCGTCCCTGCCCTCCTGCTTTGGGAGCTGAAATGGGCACTGTCACCTAAGCAGGAAACAGAGAGGGGGCTGTGCTGGAGGCTGCCCCCGGCCCCTATTCACTGGGGGACGCTAGGCAAAGTGGACTGGTCAGGGTCAAGAAGCAATCTAGGGAAGGCCTTACCCTGATGTGGGAGCTTGGCCCAGGCTCAGCTTGCCAGGGGACCAGAGCATCTCCCTGTGGCTGGGAGAAGCTCCCTGTTCTTGCTGTCCATCGGGACAGGTGTCTGCAGTCCTCACCACCCTGCCCCCTCCACACCCACAGCTTTGCATTTCTCTGGCCCTGTCGCTTTCCAAAAAGGATCAGGTGTCAAAGCAAGCTAGCAGCTCTCAGGGGCAGTGAGTCCAAGCTGATGTCATCCATGGGGCTGCCCCTCACCCCAGGATTGGAGAAGTGGGGGCAGTGAGAAACCCAGAGCAGGACTTGCTGGGGGTCTGGACTCCTCCCCTGCCAGCTCTCTGCATCTCTGGCTCCTGCACGGCTCTGCGCAGGTGGTGGTGGGGGCAAGTGGGAGCCAGGACACAACCCTTTCCCCAGTCTACCCGCAGCAGCCGGAGCAGCTGAATGAAAGCAGTTCCCCTGCTTCATTAGCCCCTCAGCTCCCTTCTCCCATTAGACACCTGATCTCAGGCAAAGCCTAATTAGCTGCAGGTCCCATAAAACCTCCAGCTGGCCCTGGGAAGCCCCAGGGGGGCCACTCCACTGCCCAGCCCCTGATGTGTTGACTGTTGCCCCCTGGCGGCCCCATGTGGAAGTGCAGGCCTGTACTTGGGGATTGCGCTGTGACTTCCCTGAGTCAGGATCCCAGCTGACAAGTGGGCCCTGGTTCCAAATTTTGCTTCCCTCACTGCAGACACCCAGGGAGCTTTAAAAAGCTGGTACTGGGCATTGCTGGTGGCACAAGGGGTTAAGTCTCAGCACTATAAAGCTACTGACAGCCACTGTAGCACATGTTTGATCCCTGGCTGGGGAGCTGGCCCACATGGTACAGCAGACCTCTCCTATTCTGCTCCCATTTGTCTCTGGTGAATCCTCTCACCTCTCCACCAGTTCTTGTATGTATAAAAAAATAAATTTTAAACATACTGATGCCCAGAGAAGCTGCCGGCTCCTGCTGCCATGGGGCCAGGTGGCATCCCTAGATTTCCTGGCTCCACTGGTGTGGGCATGGGGGCTGGGGGCGGGGTAACAGCCCCTCAGGTGGTTGTAACTTGCAGCAGTCTCAGCAGTCCCCTGAATTGGAGAGGGGAGGGGTGTAGCCTTTCCTTGGGAGCAAGCCCCTTACCCTCTGGCCGCCTCAGTGCTCTCCTGCTGACTCCACCATCACCTCCATCCCAGGCTCAGCGATGCTGACAAGAAGCGCCTGTGGGAGAAGCGCTATTACTGCCACTCGGAGGTGAGCTGTCTGCCTCTGGTGCTCGCCAGCGCCCCCAGCTGGGAGTGGGCTTGCCTGCCAGACATCTATGCTCTCCTGAAGCAGTGGACACCCATGAACCACCAGGATGCCCTGGGGCTCCTGCATGCCACGTGAGTTCGGGACACCCCCCTGTCCTGACCACCCACCCCTCTGATGCAGGGTGGCCCAAGCCAGCACCCCAGGAAGTGTGGGCGTGGACGCTCAGGACTTTCCCTCTTCTCCTTTGCTCTTTGTTTTACTACCTCCCCACCCCTGATGCCGCTGCATCATTACTAACATTTTCCAAACACCTTGTAAATTTGGAAACGTGTCAGTGAACATCTCTTTATACTTAGATACTAACCACTAGCACTTGCTGTGATTTTTTTTTTTTTTGGTCACGTGTCTGTGTTCCTACATCAGCACATTTTAATGCATTTTTAAGTAAGTTGCAGCTATCATCACTGTCTCCTAAATACTATAACATGCTTAAGGTGAACAAGAGTTCCACATTGAGGTTTTTATTTTTGGAGCAACCTCCTCTATAAGAAGGGGCTCAACCTGTCTCCGTCTACGTGCCAAGTTTGGCAAATGCAATCACCTGTGCAAACCTACACCCTAACACTTCTGTTTTAACCACCTTCGCTTCCCTCTTTCCTCTGAAGTCTTCTCTGGGAACACACAGTAATGAGAACACCTCTCAGACCCCTGGGCTGCCTTTCCCAGATGGTACTCAATATTCTCAGTTTCTTACCTCTCTCAGTAATTAAAATGTACCCGATCCATATGTTCTGCCTCTTTGAGGCATAGGCTTTGCTAGTCTTTGCTCAGCGACTTCTGCCAAGGTGTATGGTCTTACGTAAAGCCCCACAGCCCACTGTCACGCACCTGGCAAGCTTTGCATGAAAAGAAGCAATATGGCCCTCCCTGGTGGCTCAGCGGGTTAAAGCACAGCTCTAAGAAGCTAAAGCCACTTCAGTATGAGTTTGATCCCCACCCGGAGGTGACCCACATGGCCCAGCAGATCTCTCCTGACCCGCCCGCTGCTCCCCTCAGCAGTGGACTTCGTTCATCTGCCTGTTCTGCTCCCTACTGCCTCAGGTGAATCCTCTCACCCACCCTGCACCTCTGGCCTGCACCCTAGTTCTGTATGTATAAATAAATAAATCTTAAAAAAAAAAAAAGAAAGAAAAGAAAAGAGGCAATAAAGCTTTAACCCTCATGAGGGTGCTTAGGTGGTAGAAATTTGGGCCCAATCAGAGTCAAGGAAGAGACCTTCAAGGGCGAGGTTGGGAACACTATCCCAGTTTCTTCCACCCAGTGGGTGTGCATGGCTTCCTTGGTCTACACCGGCTCTGACCGTGGGCAGGGCTGTCTCCAGTTGATGCTAAGAGCTCTCCTAGCACCCTGGGCAGATTCTGTTAGCAATTGGCACTCTCCGCCGTGCCCCTGAAGCCCATGTGGGGGACACTTGCTCACTCGTGCGCCGCGGAGCCGGCTGGGTGTTCAAGGTGCTGGGCTCTGTTCATTGGCAGCTTCCCGGACCAGGAGGTGCGGCGCATGGCAGTCAAGTGGATCGACTCGCTCTCGGACGCCGAGCTGCTCGACTACTTGCCCCAGCTGGTGCAGGTGGGCACGCGCCTCGCTCTGGCCCCACCTCCTGCTACCTGGCCGTCTGTCCTCTGCCCCCAGCACCAACCCGGGCTGAGACAGTGGTGGGTGTAGGTTCCAGGCAGCCTGCAAGCAAGGCCTCTGCTGTCTCCTAAACAGGCCCTGAAGTACGAGTGCTATCTCGACAGCCCCCTGGTGCGCTTCCTGCTGAAACGAGCCGTGTCTGACTTGAGAGTGACGCACTACTTCTTCTGGTAAACCCACAGCAGGACAGGAGGGGAACGTGGCCTTCCCTGGGGACACACAGGGCGGGGAGCTGACCTTGTAGGTTCCTTTACAGTGCTGCCTTCCCGTGTAGTCTCAGGCTGGGGCCTTTGGCTCGGGGTGGTTCAGGATAAGCGGGAGGCCCGCCCCTCACCCCCACACATCAGAAATACAAGAGGAGGTAGGTGCGGGCGGCCTTGCGTTCTCTGAGACGGCCCCCCTGGAGACAGTGGAGCTGCTGCATAACTGCACAGTCTGCCTCCCCTCCCAGCCTGGGTGGGTGTTCAGGGAGCAGGGGCTAGGCCGCCTGACCTCTGATGTACCACCTGGCCTGTGGTTCCCTGAGCACTGGACTCCCTTGGCCTCACAGGTTGCTGAAAGACGGCCTCAAGGACTCCCAGTTCAGCATGCGCTACCAGTACCTGCTGGCGGCCTTGCTGTGCTGCTGTGGCAAGGGGCTGAGGGAGGAGTTCAACCGCCAGTGCTGGCTCGTCAACACCCTGGCCAAGCTGGCCCAGCAGGTCCGGGAGGCCACGCCATCTGCCCGGCAGGTGAGCAGGGTGTAGCCGCGCCTCACTTCCTGGGCTTCTGCAGCCAGTCTGGGACTTCCAGGCATCCCGGCCAGCAGGAGGGCCCTTGACTACCTGATTTAGAGGCTGGAAGAGGACTGTATCTCTAACTCCAAGCTACAAGCTAGCAGTCTGCAATCTGGACACAGCCAGCGGCTGGATTGTTTTGACCTGCAGAGTATACTTTACTGGTCTGCTGGCCTCCAAGCCTAAGTCCAGTTATATCAGTTGTTCACTGCCTAAGAGCACCCAGCTGGTGAGGGTGCAGTGAGTGGTGGCTCAGGGTTGCCCGCCCCCCGGGCACGTGTAGCCGCCCACACCCAGGAGCTGTGCCAGGCCCAGTGCTCCTGGACGCTGACGTTTACAACTCCTGAGACCTGAAAGTCTAGATTGTTGGCTCCTCTTAGCAACTGCCTGAGCTGTGTCTCCCCTGGAAATGCGGCTGTCTCTCTGCTCCACGTGGCCTGTGGCCTGCTGGGGTGGGGGTTGGAGTGCTCTGTCACCCGCCTGCACACCCTGGGGTGGGGTGGGGTGGGTCTACCCTCAGTCTCCTGCAGACGGTCCATATTCTCAGCTCCTGCTGAGCACCCATATTGGGAAAGGCCTGGTTCTAAGGGGGTGTTTCTGGGACTCGCACCTAACCTCTTCTCTCCTCCTCCCTTCAGGGGATCCTGCGGTCTGGCCTGGATGAGGTGAAGCAGTTCTTTACTCTCAATGGCTCCTGCCGCCTGCCACTCAGCCCCAGTCTGCTGGTAAAGGGCATCGTGCCCAGGGTGAGTGGCTGGCGGGCTTGGGCCCTGGGAGCAGGGAGGACTGAGTGGAGGCCAGGTGGTCACGGACCTGTTGTTGAGACATAGGAGGAGGAAAGGCAGAGTTGGGGCCTCTTGATCCTAATGTGTCCAGCTTTGGCCTAACAGCTGTGCAGGAAGGAGGGGTCCGACTGGGGCAGGAGAGGTGCCTGGTTCTGGGATCGCAGTACGACTGGGGAAGCATCACTTCGGGCTCCCTCTGTGCGCAGCACCATCGTGCGTGTTCACACAACCTGCTAGTTACTGCATTCCATCCTCACCGTGATGTGAGCCCCATTTGACAGAGAGGAAAAGTGAGGTACAGATGGGATGTGGTTTCCTGGAACTCGTAAGTTGCACGTAGAAAGAACCCAGGGGAGAACCATCTGCTGAGGCTGTAACAAACTGACCTGGGGTCATCACCTGGGGTGATGGCTTGTAGGGAAGGGAGAAGGAATATGGGCTTCTCCCAGAGAAATCTGGAAAAGACAGTGAGCAAGTGGCCGGCCGGGCAGCAGCGTGACCCGGGGATGGCCCTCCTCCCTCATCACTGCTTTCTCTGCCTGGCAGGACTGCTCTTACTTCAACTCCAATGCAGTCCCCCTCAAGCTCTCCTTCCAAAATGTGGATCCCCTGGGTGAGAACATCCGAGTCATCTTCAAGGTGAGGTCGCTTCTCTCAATAGAGAGGAAGGGCTGGAGGGAGCTGGGCTTGCAACCCCGGTGGTCTCGTCCCTTATTCCCTGCTAGTGGGAGGACAAGGAAACAGAGCACTTCTGCATGTCCCAGAGGGTAGGGACCAGAGGGGCAGGAAGGCCTCGGAGAGCTCAGTACATGGAAGTGCTGGGGAGGCAGGATTGTCCCAAAATGGAGTGGGTGAGGTGGTGTGCTGCTTGCCTCTGGGCGTATTCAAGCAGAGGCTGAAAGATGTTGAAGGGGAAGTTAGCCTAAGAGTGCAGGGTGGATTAAGTGAGCCCTGAGGCCTTTTTATTTTCTTTTTAAAGATTTGTTTATTTGTGCATACAGAACTGGGGTGCAGGCCAGAGGTGCAGGGAGGTGAGAGGATTCAGTAGAGACAAAGTGGGGAGCAGAACAGGCAGATTGGTGAAGTACACTGCTGAGGGGGGCAGCGGGCGGGTCAGCAGAGGTCTGCCGCGCCATGTGGGTCAGCTCCCTGGCCGAGGATCGAACTGCTGAAGCAGCTGCAGCTAGCTTCCTAGTGCTGCACTTTAACCCGTTGCACCACCAGGGAAGGCCCCCTGAGGGCTTTCTAACTGATCTATCCCTGACTCTGAGACGTAAATGGCGGCCCCAGACCATGCCATCTCTTTTGGGATGAAATGCATTTGCATGTCTCATTGATGGTAACTTACGTATTTATAGTGTATAAGTTCCAAATGCAAGGTGTCAGTGTTCAAGTTTTAAAAAGACTTGACGGTCAGCAGGGCTTCTTCATGAAGGAGAGGAACCTGGGCTCTTCCTGATGGCACAATGGGCTAAAATGCAGCACTGGGAAGCTAGCCGCAGTCATTTCAGCCTGAGTTCTATCCCAGGCCACGGAGCTGACCCACACGGCACAGCAGACCTCTCCTGACCTGCCCCAGACCTGCCCGCTGCTAACCCTCAGCAGTGTATTTCAGTGAATGTGCCTGTTCTGCTTCCCACTCTGTCTCTGGTGATCCTCTCATTGCCTCTGCACCTCTAGTCTGTATCCAGTTCTGTGTGCATAAATAAATAAATCTTTAAAAAAAAAAAAAAGAAGAAGAGCAACCTGAGTTTCATTCAGAGGCAGTGTGGGGTAGAGGGAAGAGCCAGAACAGTGTGTGGCAGAGTGTGCAGGTTGTCAGTTCACCCCCAGTGATTTGACCAAGTGTGAGCTGAGCCAGCAGGGCTGAGAGGGGAGGACCGGTCACTATAGCTGGGGTGGAGGTTGCCAGCCTGGAGCATCTGGGAGCAGGGGCAGGCGGTGGACATGAGCTCTGTCCCTCTCCACCTCCATCCAGTGTGGGGACGACTTGCGTCAGGACATGCTGACCCTGCAGATGATTCGCATCATGAGCAAGATCTGGGTGCAGGAGGGGCTGGACATGCGCATGGTCATCTTCCGCTGCTTCTCCACCGGCCGCGGGAAAGGTCAGCTGGGAGTGGGCAGGCTGCGAACAGGAGGCTGGTGGGAACGGTGTCCTTTGCTTTGTGGCCTCCGACACCTCCCCTGGCTGGGGGGTGGACGACGTGCTTCTCCAGGGGCCTGACAAGGGCAAGTTCCCTCCATGAGAGGCTGCGGATTGGTGTGAAGGAGGCAGAGTTGGTTCTAAAGTCATAGACTCGGGGACATCACAGCCAAGGGGACTATGGTGGCTTAGGATCCTGATTCAGACAAACCAGTTGTCAAAAGATTTTTTTGAGACAGATAGGGGAAATTTGGATAGACACGGGGTTGGAGCAGATCACATTGGTTTCTAAACTGGTTGTTTTGAATGTGGTAATGTCATGGTGATGTCTGCCTTCTGGTGATGTCTGCCTTAGCTGTACTTAGACTATTTATAAATAAAATGACACGTCCAGAATTTGCTTTAACTTCGTCCCATGGGGTTGAGTGAATGAAACTGACGCAGCAAGATCAGCAAAATGTTGGGAATTTTTGGAACTGGGTGATGATTATATATGAATTGTGATCCTGGTCTCTTTATTCTTATATATATTTGACAATTCCCATGGTAAAGTTAAAAACCAAAAAAGGAGCGGTAGCTATGAACTGGGGACCTCAGGGAGCCACATTGTGGAACCCGAGACCCTTGGAATGACCTTCCCTTCCATCACTGTCCTTTCCTGCATTCCCAGACTTTCTCCAAATGCCCTAGACCTTCGTTTATAGAGAAGCATCCTACAGAGGTCTGCTGTGCCGTGTGGGTCAGCTCCGTGGCCTGGGATAGAACTCATACCCTTCTCTCTGGTCTGGAGAGTGACCCCCCATGCCGCCTCTTGCAGGGATGGTGGAAATGATCCCCAACGCTGAAACCCTGCGCAAGATCCAGGTGGAGCACGGGGTGACGGGCTCCTTCAAGGACCGGCCGCTGGCCGACTGGCTGCAGAAGCACAATCCTGGAGAGAACGAGTATGAGAAGGTAAGAGGAGTTGATGGGCATGTGGCTGTGTTAGCTCAAGGCCTGCAGCTTTTGGGGGCACATGTGGCGCTCTGTCTGGTCAGCTGATGCTCCAGATCTCTCCGGGTCAAGGCAAAGAGCTATTGCGAGCGGACTGAAAGAGTTGGTATCAAATTGGGAAACCAAGATTGGATGCCCCTGGCAGGTGGAGCTGTGGAAGGAGGCGACAGCGTCTCCTGTGGGCGGGTCCTGTTCAGTTCCTCTTGCCCTCAGTGGGACTCAGTGATACTTGGTCAAATAAGAGTTGGTTGAGATGATGTAAATCCAATCCCTCTTTTTATAGGTTGGAGTCGAGAGACCCTGATTTGTCATGCAGCTGGTTTATGGCAAAGCCGTACAGGAAACCAGGGCTGAAACTAGGTGTGAGACAGAGAAGGGGACTGTCCTGTCCACAGTAGAGGAGGACACCTCCTTTACGGAGTGGGAGGACCTTGGTGGCCTGCTGCACGCCGTGGCTGGTCCACAGCTTTCCGAGTCTAGCATCTGAGTTCAGTGAGTTTAGGGGAGGGAAATGTCACAAGAACCAAACCCATAAGAGGCTTATCACCCAGAATGCCACTTTATGCAATTTAACTTCCTAGGGGTATCCAAATACTAATTTATCTTGATCAATACATCGGAATTTTGAGGAGCAGCCAAATTAGAATGAGAATGTTCTTTAGTGAACATATAATTAGGTGAATTTAAGTGGCCTTAAAATGTTTGCATTCCTCAGGGCTTAATTCCTGTTGGGCTGAGCTCTCTTGGCATTCCTCTTGTGCCAACCCACTGTCTCTTATTACTTTCAGTACCACCCACATGCCCTGCCTTCCAAAGCCTTCCCCTCTTCCCTGCCCTGAGGCACCTGCTTCGTGGACATCTCCTCTCACCTTTTACCCACACTTCACACTCAGTCTAGGCAAAACCAAGCATTCTGTCTGCTCCCCTGGTCCTCTTGAAACCTCCTTTTTGTGTTTCCTGTCAGTAAATGGGAAGTCACCCAAGACACAGCTATGTATCTCCTTGCTGCTTCTGCCCGCCTTTTAATCCCAACCTTTGACTGCAAACCCTCTAGATTCTTCTACCCAAATATCTCTCAAGTATTTTCCTCTCCTTCATTTTTGCAGCTGTTTGCTGTGTGACTTCTAACCATTGGATGTCTTTCCTCCCATTGCCATCCTCTGCTTGATTTCAGAGTGCAAATTAATTAAGTGCAAGCCTGTTTATGTCACCTCTTTCTTCTAAGTCTTAAAGATAAGTCCAACAAGAAGGAAAAAAACAAACAGGTCCTCCCTGACAACATAGGGGTTTCAGCACTATCAAGGTCTCTCCAGTCATTACCACACGAGTTCGATCCCCAGTCAGGGAGCTGACCCACATGGCACGGCAGACCTCCTCTCTCCTCACTGCTCCCCTCAGCGGTGGATTTCAGTTGATCTGCCTGTACTCTTCCCCACTCTTCTCTGGTGAATCCTCTCACCCCCTGCACCTGTCGCCTGCACCCCTGTTGTTGTATGTATGCATTAATAAAAATAAAGCTTTAAAACCAACAAAGTGCAGCATCAGTAACATCACACACAAAGCCTCTGTACTCTGGCCTTGGCACCTTCACAGCCAATGATGACATAGCCCTGGAGCGGGGGCCTCCTGGCCTGTCCTTGATGCCTTGGCCCTGGTTTTCCCTTTGCCTAGAAAGCCATGTCTTCCCTCCCCATCTCTCTAAATCTATACCCTGCTCCGCCACCACGTTGTAAACTTCTGGGTCCTCCTGTGTTTGGGATTTTTTTTTTTAAGATTTATTTGTATTTGTGCATATAAGAATTGGGGTAGAAGCCAGAGGTGTGGGTAGGGAGAGGATTCACCAGAGACAGAGTGGGGAGCAGAATAGGCAGATGGACTGAAGTGCACTGCTGAGGGGAGCAGCAAGCAGGTCCAGAGAGGTCTGCTCCCTGGCTGGGATCGAACTCATGCTGCAGTGGCTGGTGATAGCTTCTTAGTGCTGCACAACCCTTGCACTATGAGGGAGGCCCCCCCCACACCTGCTCTAAATTCAACACTATCTCTAACACTTTCACCAGCTAGAGATGTCTATTTTTGAGGTCAAACACCCTGAGACGTGTTAAGCTGCCTCAGCTCTTTTTTGGATAGAAGGAACTTGAAGGGGATTTGTGTGTAGCGGTTACCAAGGGCCCCAGGGATCTTGTACTGGGGCTGAGGGAAGACTGGCGGGTCCCAAGCAGGGCAAGGGAGGGACCCCAAAGAGGCTGCCTCTGGCTGTGCTGTGTGCAGGTGGTCACGGTCGCTGGGCAGCAGCACAAGTCAGTGTTCCCATCTGGTAAGGTCTCCCCGGTCCAGGCTGCTCAGGCCTGGACTCCTCCATCCCTCTCACCCAACTCCCCGGGAGAAAGAGAGGCAGGGAGGAGATGAATTTCAGACAAAGGGGTGTTGATTTATCCACACACCTTCCATCTCTTTGCACCCCATGAGAGACCAGAGACCTGTCTGTGATGCAGGTGTTACAGGGCAGGGAGAGGGGCACCCCAGAACCCCCAAACCTGCCTGCTATAAATAGGTTCTGCCACCTGTCACATCAAGCTAAAACATATAAGACCGTTAATGGAAAGGAACTTTAATACACTGAGTGTGCAGTACAGAAAAGATAAAGAATATAGTTTCTAAATCAGACACCCTAAGTTACCCGTCCGCTCATGGATAAAAGTCCACCCAAACAGGCTTGACCCACAGCAAGGCCTGAAAGCCCCCCACGAGTCTAAGGCACCTTCCAGCCAGGACCCATAGAAAAGGGTCAGAAACAGATAAGTCTGGGAGGAAAAGAGCAAGAGCAAAATCAAGATAAACGCTGCCAGTCACCGCCCCACGGGTCTCACCCACGTCTGTGTCGGCCAGTCCAGGGCCAAGAAGCAAGTGCGGCTTCTTCACAGGTCTCTGCCACGTGCCCCTCCAGGCCTCCTCCTGGCCTCTGTCCTCTTCCTGCCCCAGTCTCCTCTACAGCTTCTCCTCCTCCTACTCAGCTGGGGGACCTGGAGCCCCCTTTTCCTGGGGACCCCCCCTGTTACAATGGGATCCCCTGAGGGGTGACTGAGGTCAAGCAGGCAGGTGTGAGGGGCTCACAGAGAGGCCGCTGAGTCCTGCGCCACTGTGACGCCTGCGGGCTCCAGGCAGCTCCCATCCGTCCTCCCTCCCCTCGGCCTTCCCTCCCCAGGCTGTGGAGAACTTCATCTACTCCTGCGCCGGCTGCTGCGTGGCCACGTATGTCCTGGGCATCTGTGACCGACACAACGACAACATCATGCTGAAGACCACGGGCCACATGTTCCACATTGATTTTGGCCGCTTCCTGGGCCACGCCCAGATGTTTGGCAACATCAAGAGGTAAGTGGTCTCCTGAAGGCCCAGCGGTGAGCAAGCGGGTCAGAACTGGACACAGGACGTGAGGGGCTGCACTATGGAGCATGGGCCGCAGGCCGGTCATAGGTCACATCCTCGTGGGTGTGGGCAGAAGATGGGGACGGGGGTTCTCCCTGCCTGCTGAGGACCGAGCAAAGGGAAGGAGCCCGAACTGCAGCAAGAGGGAACACAGTTAGACGTTTGCAGGAAATGACGCTGGCCCCAGGGGGCCCGGTGCGGATGTCTCTGGGGACCTGTTAAGATGAAGGTAGGAAAAGAGAAGCAAGATGCTATGGAGAGCCCCGTCCCGGTTTGCACAGGTGATGGGTGGGGGTGGGGAAGGAAGGATCCCCGATGCAGCCCCGGGCACCCCGCTCCATACTGACCTTCCCCCTGTGTGTTCCCCTCGGCCCAGGGATCGCGCGCCCTTTGTCTTCACCTCGGACATGGCGTATGTCATCAACGGGGGTGACAAGCCTTCCAGCCGCTTCCATGATTTTGTTGACCTTTGCTGCCAAGCCTACAACCTCATTCGCAAGCACACCCACCTCTTCCTCAACCTTCTGGGCCTGGTGAGGCGCTCCGTCCCTTTGTGAACCCTTACTCCGTGTCCGTCTTTCAGACCCCCAAGTCTTGCTTCCAAGGGCTCCTGCAGAGGCACTTCTCTAAGCCCCAGATGTCGGCAGGGCCCACGTGGCGGGGACAGTGGTGTCTGCCGCCGCCTCCAGCCCGCTTCCCTCCAGCCACTGCCCACAGCCTCTGTCTGCCGCCCCCAGGAGTCTCGCTACAGAAAACCACGCTTATGACGGGAAGAAGCAAGAATTCCTGGTGGGTCCAGGCCTCCTTTCTCCTTTGCTCTCCTTGCAGATGTTGTCCTGCGGCATCCCTGAGCTGTCAGACCTAGAGGACCTCAAGTATGTGTATGATGCCCTGAGGCCTCAGGACACTGAAGCCAACGCCACCACCTTCTTCACCAGGTAACTCCCTGCACCCAGGGCTGTACCCCTCACCCCCGGGCAGGTCTGGGCTTAATTTCCAGGCTGCCTGGTTGGGAGGATCCAGGTAGGAGAGCAGAAAGCCTGTACCCCGAGGGCAGAGCTGGGAGTTGAACGTGGTCTGTTGGCCTAGCTTTGCCTCTGCCTTAAGGAAATCACTTCTGGCTGCTCATGGTGCTTCCCTTGTGTGTGTGGGCCGCCCAACCATCTTTCTTGAAGGTCTCGGTCATTGCATCAAAAAATTATACTTTGTCTATAGGGCAATGTATCAATTGGATTTTTAATAGTTTTTTTCAAGTTTTATTTATTTATGCATACAAGAACTAGAGTACAGGGGGATGAGAGGATTCCCCAGAGACAGAGTGGGCAGCAGAACAGGTGGATCAACTGAAATACACAGCTGAGAGAGCAGCGGGGGAGGCAGGAGAGGTCTGCTGTGCCCTGTAGACCATGTGGGTCACCTCCCTGGCTGGGGATCGAACTCGTGCTACAGTGGCTGTGGGTAGCTTCATAGTGCTGCGCTTCAACCATTGCACCACCAGGGAGGGCCCAGATTTTTGATAGTTTGTAACTCTCTGGATCAACACTTTCCCACTTAACGAAATTCCAGGATTTCACTTTTACTGTTTAAGGCACACCGTGGACGAATGTTCACCATTCTGTTTACATAGCCCATGTCTCCTGTCTCTCAGGCACTGTGTTTGAAACTTATCTAAATTTTCTCTAACACAGAATCTGTCCTTTGGAATTGCAATTTCTAGATTGAACAGTGATTGGTAAAGTTCCTGGCACCGAGTTTTGACATTCAGTTTGACATCTGTATTTGGACATTTACATGATGATCCTGCAGTGGGCTCCCTGACGCCTTCCTACCTTGGTTTAACTTATGGGTCAAGAGGGTAGTGAGGGAGAGCCCCAGAGTCCCTATGAGTAAGCCCTGCATGGGTAGTTGCGTCACCCACTGAAGAGGAGTGACTTCATCAGGTCATTTAACGTGACCGGAGCTGCCAGGGCCCGCAGCTGCGGGTCGCCCAGTCAAGGCGGTGGGATCTCGTCCAAGTCACATCCTTTCCCCAATCTCTGCACCAACAGGTTGATCGAGTCCAGCCTGGGCAGTGTAGCCACAAAGCTCAATTTTTTCATCCACAACCTGGCTCAGATGAAGTTCACAGGCTCCGACGACCGCATAACCCTCTCCTTTGCCCCCCGAACACACACTCTCAAGAGCTCTGGCCGCATCTGTGACGTCTTTCTCTGTGGCCATGAGAAGATCTTCCACCCCAGCAAGGGCTATGTGAGTGCGTCCTCCCCTCTGGCCCGCCCTGCACCCCCAGACCCAGGATACTCGCTTTCAGATTTCCACACATGTGCTGTCTCCTATCCCTTCCCGAGGCCTTTGCCCTTTTCTTTCTGGAACATGAACTCCTGCCCCCGCCTCTGTCCCTCTCCTGCCCCGCTGCATTGGGTGCAGACGACTGGGCAGGTACTTCCCTAAGACCTGGTCGGACTTCTGCAGATTTATGTGGTGAAGGTGATGCGGGAGAACACGCACGAGGCCACGTACATCCAGCGGACCTTTGAGGAGTTCCAGGAGTTCCACAGCAAGTTGCGACTCCTCTTCCCTGCTTCCCTCCTGCCCAGGTAGCTTCCCCTTCACTCTGCACAGAGAGAGGGAGAAGGGAGAGGGGTCAGGGCTGCGTGCAAGATGGCAGGAGTGGAAGCCACCCTTTTACAGCAAAGATCCACCTGCTTTTCTTGGCCTGAGGCTGAGTTTGGTGACTAGTGCCCTCTGCTGGCCACGCTGTGTGCTGCACCGAAGTTTCTCCAGCCTGGACCTTAAGCTTGGTCCACCTGTCAGAAAGCAAGCAAACTGAGGATTCACTGAAAGCGCCTAGTATTCTTCAAGTAGATAAAATGTGGTGTATTAGTAAGTAAGCGTTAAAAAGGAGACATTCAGGCACGTGCTACAATGTGGGTGAACTTTGAGGACATTATGTTAAGTGCAATATGGTAAGACACTCCAGTTACATGAAGTACCTCCAGTAGTTAAGTCATAAAGACACAAAGTAGGTGTTGGTTGGCAGGGCTGGGCCGGGGGCTGGGGAGTTTTTCAGGATGAGCTGCGTGCTCAGACCATGGAGGAGAAAGCCCCACAATGACTGTCTAGACCCCCCCTCAGACATGCATGTGTATATGAACTTCATCACAAAGTTTTTAAAATGGTTTTTAAGTGAATTTTTCCCTTGATGAGGAAAACTGGGGCTCTGAAGCCCCTGAGCTCCAAGACTTGGGCCCACAGCTGGTTTTCTTGTCTGGGGTCCTTGGAACTTGGAGTGTGAAGTGCCAGCACTGGGCCCTTGGCACCCACCTGGGGAGCTGTGGGTAAGGCCTCCCCCACCCCCGCCCCCAAGAGAGGCTGCTGAGAAATGTGGGCAGGTGTGACAATGCAAGTGAATGTGACCAACGCCTGTTGTGTCTGAATTTTCTCTCTGTAACTACCTCCCCACCCCCTAACACCCCGTCCGCACCCTGCCTGCCCACCCGCCTACAGCTTCCCCAGTCGCTTCGTGATCGGCCGCTCGCGGGGAGAGGCTATGGCCGAGCGGCGGAAGGAAGAGCTGAACGGCTACATCTGGCACTTGATCCACGCAGCCCCCGAAGTGGCCGAGGTGGGTGGGCTCGTCCTGCACGCGGCTGGCTGTTGGGGGAGGGGGCTGGGATAGGATAGGGGCTGGAGCCATGGCAGCCCTGAGGGCGCTCGCCCCTCTGGGTGTGCCCAGCTGCAGACAGGGGTGGTGGTGGTGGCGCAGTCTCACAGGTCCTGTAAATAGTCAGTGTGACAGGAGGGACACAGCAAGCAGGCAGGAGACCTGCGCCAGAGCCGAGCCCACCTGAGGAAGGGAGGGCGTCCTCGAGAAAAAGGAGTTTTTTGAGCAGCTCGAGTGTGTGTATCCACCTGCTGTTTTTTTT